CAGAGGCAAGCTTAGAGCTCTGTGACAAGCTCATGACATTTTTAGCATAACCATAAATTGTGTCTGCTGACAAAAGAAAATCTGAAAGATGATGATGCTTAAAGATTAAAGCTTTTTTCCTGTTGTTTTTTTGGTTTAGAACTGGTTTAATTGACACTGCTTTTCTTGGTAAATTCATGTCTTCTCTGCTGATCAAACTTCAGCTGAGGTTTAACCCACTGAGCCATGCACATATAATATCTAAATACAGCGCCCTGTGTTATTTGGGAATATTTTTAGTTGATTTATTCACTGACAAAAGTGAGTGTGTGACGACAGTCTGTACAAAATAGCGCCACGGCTGCCTTATTCATTGGAATCACTGGTAACACGCAGCAAAGAGTACGAGCCCTATGATAAATAAGTCATCCGTAAAGCATGGCTTCAATTTAGTCTACAAGGAAAAGGACTGCACTGGTACAGAGGCGCTCACACACATCCAGCGTGCATACATCATTGTCATGAAATGCCTGCATTGGGTTGTCATGGAAACGCGTGGAGAGCCTTAGCGGGAAAGACAGAGAGTAGACGAGGAGTCGTCTAAGAGTGTTCCCGGTGCCGCAGCCTCATTCTACTCGTCCCGTCATTTATTTTTGGCTTTTACACACACACACGCACACGCACGCACACACACACACATACACACACACACATCTTGCTGTGATGTTGATGAGAGACAGCCAGGTTGGAAAATTCACTCACTCTACACAACATCTTTCCACCCATACTGCCTGCATATCTTTTACATACAGTGCTTCCTATTGGGATAAATGACAGATGACAGTGCATGTTAACTACAGAAAAAAATGATGCATTGTGTATTTTTTTAGTTTTTCCTTTTTTCCCCCTCATCAATAACACACCATCCAGACATCAGTGAGCAGCGCATGTGTAATTGGAGGTCATTAAATTCAATAAACCCTGAGAGGTCCTGTTTTAATTTGTAGCTCTGCATTAACATGACAATACACGTGCTGCTCGGTGCACTCCCCGTGACAGATGAACACAGATACCCCGCATAAACATTAAAGCGATGCATGCACGCGCACGCACAGACATTTTCCGCGCGCATTAATAAATGATAAGAATTAGAATATAATTTTCTTTTGAGCGGGATGATGGAAGGGAAGAAGGATGGGTGGAATGGGAAAAACCACTTCAGTCATGTCCTCTAATCACATCCACACTGCTCTCCCGGGAGTTGGCCCGCCACCATATTAAACCACCACCATCCACCACGTGCTCAAACCCCCCCTCCTCCGCCTGCATTACTGCTCTCACTTTTAGACGTGAACAATGTCCCAGTTGCGACAAAGACGCTCAGCTGAGATCTTGACAGGGAGAGTGCTGAAATTTACTGGAACGCCTTTTTAGCTGATGTTAAAAACGATCTGTTGCAACAAACCCGAGCCTCTCACTGGCACCGGCTGACTGAGCCATCTGCATCCTCCGCCTGCAGCAATGTTTCCGTATGCATGGATGCCTGTGTATTTATTACCCCTAATCACAAAGACGAGCTGCAGCAGACATGAAGGTGTCCCATAATTTAACCAGAATACTAGATAAATTCTGGCATTTGCATATATGGTAAGATGGTCCTCCATGTTCACTACACAAAGTGGGGGGGAAAGGAAAGTAACACTTCAGACATGAGCAATAATATTCTCTCTAGGGCAGTGGAGTGTTTCTTTAAATCTTTAAACCCAACACCTGAGTGTCTCTTCACAGTAACCAATTATTTCCACACTGATAAATATCAAAATCAAACTATCCAATGAGCTCACTACCTTAATTTTACAACCCAGCACTGTGTCTAGATGGTGAAAGCACCAACAAAGCAGCCTGAGAGCATCTGTGCCTTTGCTTTGCAGTAATACTACTAACACTTGCCCACTCCTTTATTTTTTTCCGTCCCTCGTTCCCCCTGGCAAACCAGCAAATGGCAGCACGTGACCTTGAGCAGCCTTCACGAATAGAGCATCTCACGGGACGATGAACAACTTTCATTCTCCAATGAGGCCGACTGCCACTGGCTAGTGGACAAAACAGGCGTGTCCAGCAAGGACATCCAACCACAGGCGAGTGAGGAGATCATGTCAGACAGTCGGTCTCACCACCTGGCCTTCATGCCTTCAGGTTAGGTTATAATGCTGCCTGCTTCCAGTGTGGACTTGACATACCCTTTTATATTTTACCTCCCTCCCTACATGAAACATGAAAAGGCATTCACATAACAGCTGAAACTGCCAGTTGGAATCTTATTCACACAAAATATCCACTACATCAAACCATTACATCATTCATTTTGAGAGCAGGCCATGAATATATATATATATTTTTTAAAAGCATTTCACCGCACTGAAAATAAAAATACACATTTCAGCTTTCTGAGTTAAAAAAAATCCTTTTTAAAGTGAGGAAGGCAACTCCGAGGGGGGTGAGAACTAAACAGAGGAATGGAGTGATGGATGATTCAAAGGGGAGAGAGACGGGGTAATGAGAGGGAGAGGTAAAGGAAGGAAGGGATATCCAGCAGAGAAGCTTCTGCTACCACGCTGATAAACTCTACCACCACTCTAAATTATAGGAGGCCACATTTGTCATCTTGGCTTGATTTCTCTTCTTTTTTTTTTATCTTTTGTTTAATTTAAAGACAGAGAAGACTGGGAACAAAAAGACCCAAAATGAAAATATATAAAGATTATACACTGTGTAGTTTTGTAAATGCAGTGGTGGTACTGAAAATGTTTTGTTATAAATAAAATGGAATTTTACAGGAGGTCATCTCAAGGCTCCAGGAAGGACTGCACACACAAAGCTATGTCTCACTGAGCTGATATGATTAACTGATAAAGGTTGGCCACAAATATATCAGTCTGAGCACATATGTTGTCTGATATGAAAACTGAATGTAGAACACTATACAGAAATACATGCATTAGGTAATTTAGAAGTGGTTTTATAACATTATTTAGTCAGTAAGGTGGTTTTGGCTTCACAGTTTACGATACACTGAACCACTGTTTGCAGCTCATACATGAAGTGAAGCTAAGCAGATGGTGGTGTTAGGTTAAATGACTGTCACTTCCAGAATACCTATATGTGCATACATAAAGGATACATGTACAATTTACTAAGACCTGAGTATCATTTGCCAAAAATTATTTGTGGGCCTAAAATAAAGACTAAAATGGCAAAAGAATTACACACTGCACAAAAAATTTAAGGAACAGTTTGAAAATACATCAGATCTCAATGGGAAAAAACACATGCTGAATATCTACACCCGCATGGACTGTTTAATGTGTTAGAAGAGCTGAATTCAAAGACATAATGAACGATGTTACAGGTTTTCTCCATGGCTTCTCCAGACTCTTTCATGTCTGTCACAAGTGGACAGGGTGGACCTGCTCTCACCTATGAAAAGCACAGGGTGCCAGTGTGGACCTGTCAGTTGTGGTATTCTACGGCACTATGTGGTGCTGGGCACTGAGCACAGGGCCCACTAAGGGATCTCAGGTCCTCAGGCCGCCCTCATGAATTCTGTTTCTAACTGTTTGGTCAGAGTCCTGCTGGAGATAATTTTATAGCTCTGGCAGCGCTCATTCTGTTCCTCCTCACATAAAAGAGCAGATATCAGTCCTGCTGATGGGTTAAGGCCTTCAACGGCTCTGCCCAGCTCTCCTAGAGCAGGTGCCAGTCTTCTGGATATTTTTAAAATGTTAATATCTTGCCAGTAAGACGTTACTTCAGTGGCGATAAAAACATTAAACTATTATTTTGAGATAATATGATTTCAGCGCTTAGTCCATACTCAATGATTACATTCACACTTTTCCTTCAAAAAACATCTCTGTGGTTTTGCTTGCACCTTGAAGTAGCTTTACACCTGATAAAGCAGATTGATTGTTGGTTCATGGAATTCTACAGCTCATCAACATCCTGTTTCAGGACACTGAACGAGCCAATGGACTGGAATAATGGTTCATTATTACCATTATTAGCACTGGATATTTTCTGTGTGTAGGTTAACTTGACTTTGCGTTCAGTTACCAAAGCCAGCAGCCTCATAATGACTTATTTCCACAGTGGGGATAGTTTTCAAGAGATACCATGGAAAAACCGTTAAGCCTGATGATAACCAGTGCCCAATTAGCATAAATTTGCATACATTTGCATAAATTGGACATGGTAAAAGGTACAATACAGGAGGAGCATCCTGACAACAGATGTGAACGGGGTGGCGAAGCTTTATCCTTGTTTTGGCCGACGTTATTACGATTCACAGATAGAGTACTGATTACAGATGACAGCTTACAAAAAAATTTAAGTAAGGGAAAACCAAAGTGAAAGATGGTATAGTACGAAAAATTAAAGTCGGTGCCCAAGCAATAGCTCTGTCTCAAAGAAAAGCCAAATAGAGAACAGTGCAATTGGCCAACATCTTGCTGACTGCTACCAGTCGATCTGCAAAAAGACACATACTTAAATTCCCACCTTGGCATCTTCAAATGTCTTAAAATCTAAGCTTTTTAGTGCTGTGGCGTGTCACCTCACAGACCTCAGCTCAGTAGATAGGACAAAAAGATGGGAGGACAAAATCAGGCACAACATGCTAGATTTTACCGAGGAGCGATTTATTTACTTATTTTGGCCGGCCTCCCTCCCTGCTCCCTGGCTCTGCTGGAGATTCCTTCCCGTTAAAAGGGAGTTTTTCCTTCCCACTGTCGCCACTCGCTTGCTCAAAGTGGATCCTCTGATTGTTGGGCTTTTCTCTGTATTATTGTAGGGCCTTTTCCTTACTATTTAAAGCGCCTTGAGGTGACTTGTTATAATTTGATGCTGAAAAAATAAAATTGAATTGAATTGAGTTTCATTTGAATTTAATACAAATAGTTTATAATATAATGGTATAAATGGCATTTAATTTTAATTGTCAGAAATGACAATAAGTATGGACACTTCAGTTTCATGACTATTGATTATTATTACCAAGTCTGCCTAATTTATATGCATATTAAGTATTATTATAATAATAAGATATATAACCCCTCTCTTATACTACTAGTCCCCCCTCTCTTGCCTTCCTCTTTAATGTCACACTCTCTCTTCAGTTTATCATCTTATAGAGTTGTGAAAGTTACCAAGAAGTAAGTAGGCTAGTAGGCTAATGGAGCATACACTGATGGTTAAAAAACAATTACAGAATGAGACTCATGGCCAGCACTGTGTGGACCTTCTATTTCTGCTTTTTGAGTAAGTCTCAGCGTACACAAAGGCTATGAGTGCACTTTCAGAGATTCCACCACCCACTCTAACATAATAAGCTATTTTTAACCTCATCCTGCCACATTTCAACATGCAGAAAAAGGAAAATGTCCAAGCTCCCAGTGCATATGAAGTTAATGAGGTAAAACAACCACTCACTGCATGCGCAATTTCACAAATACTAAAAACTCCAAAACATCTATTATTCTAAATGCTGCTAAGCTGAAAATTATACACACGGACAGCTGACACCAGCAACTACACCCACAGATCTGGACTAAAACAAGCATTAGCACATGCAGAGTAATGCACACACTCCAAAACAGCTATTTGGAGTCATCAGAGGGATTTTGTCAGCAAATGATGCACGCAGACAAATTGGTTCGGTAAAGTCCTAGGACAGTTTCTCCCATCTTCCTCCGACACGCACACACATAGAAACACACACACAAAAATGAAATAAATAACCAAACAAGTAGGTTCTTACTGCGATGCGGAGCAGGGTGGCCCTGACAGCAGCCCATCGGTCCAGCCGTCTGTCGATGACCAGGATGAAACCCACTCCTGATGCTTCCACACTACAGGAGAGAAACACACACATACACACACTGTTAATCCCCACAGAAAAACACCTTTGCTTTTCCTGTGTGTGCAGGAAAGAAAAAGAGGGTGTGTATGTTTAAGTCAAGGCCTCGATAACAAGGCAAACTACTGAATTTGGTAACAGAATATCCCCAAAAAGGGGCCTTAACTAGAATTTGCCCTCCACAGCGGTGGCTTGTACATTATTGAGAGGGCCCTTGAGCTCCAGCTAAAGCAATAATTGAGTTATTTTATAAAAAATAATTCCAAATCAGCTTGCATTAAGAATACGTTAGGCAGTTTCACTGTTGGCTGACAGATTATGGCATAGGTTATGTCTATTATCTAGGAGGTTTAGGAAACTTACAGACAAATCAGGCCCACTGTAGGTCACTGTAGACATAGCTAATCAAAGCTTTTGTATTATCCTAAGGAAAAAAAACTGAAGAGGTTGCAGTTTCTTTGTTTAGTGCTATATAACCTTTTTAAAATGTCAAATTTACAGTTAAGATGCAGTTGCAGCTGCTGAATGGGCCTTTTGTCAGTCCTTCACTTAGTTGGGAAAAAAAAGGGTATAAATTTTTATTTTTACTCCCCACTAGCCTCAGGTCATTTTCCACAAGTGGCCCCTGGTCAAAGGAAGTCAAGTATCCCTTGTTCAAACCTTGCTACCTACTGCCTCTTCATCATTTGCCTTCAGTGGCGATTAGAGAGCGACCCTTGTGATTACCATGGCAACCTTGGCTCTGCATTAGCATGTGTGCATGTGAAAAATCTTGCCATTCATTCCACAGGCAGTGCCATATGTAGCAGCCTCATTAAGCTAGTTTGTGTGTGTACATGGCTTTTTCCTGCAAAGGTCCCCCGCTGGATAAGCTGACGTGTATCCTGACACCTAAACACACAAGCAGGAAGGATGAATATTTAAGCCTGACACACACATACACACACACAAACACACACCCCGACTGTGAGGCCAACCATACAAATACTGCTGAGTCGGTCCATCTGGATGTCATTATTAGCCAATTTTCATCATCACACACAGAGATGTTAAGAAAAGCAATGCGTTACACTACCCGGTGGACGCCGCAAGCGGCAAATCCTCAGTCCATCGCTACTGCTAAATAGATTCAATCCACATAAATGAAAAAGCCGGGCGAAGAAAATCTTTGATATTCCAGAGCCCAAAGAAAAAGAAATCTAACAAAAATCCTCAATAATCCAATGTCATCATCCAAATATAGTCCAGTCTTCCTCAGTTCTCTCCTATTCGGCTGATGTCAATGTCCAGTCGGTGCATCCACAATCATCTTCTTGCAGCTCGCGGATGGAGCGAGGTGACCGTTCACATCCTCACAGAGCATCTCCCTCCTCCTTTTGCCTCTCTCTCTGCTCCTCCACCACCCGCGTCCCACCCTCAGCCAATTAAAGCCGAGCTCTGCCGCTCAGAGCCAATCGGATACCCGGGAGCTCAGCCGATTGGCAGCAGGGTGCAAAATAGCTGGTGGGCAGAGAGGGAGGGGTGTGAGTGTGTGTCTGTTATATGAAAGGTGATGATCCACTGAATGGCCGCCATGACACACACACAAACATATGCGCGCGCGCACACACACACACACACACACACAGATAGATATACAGCTGCATCTTCCTTTCTCCTTTAATTATGTGTGTGAGAGCATGTCTGTGCTTGATGAGAGTGCTGCGCTCAGCACTAAAGAAAAGGTGAAAGGAAGGGAGGGGAGGTGAGAGGGTGGAGGGGCAGAGGGAGCATAAAGAAGGAGGACAGAGGAGTAATGAGAACAGATAAATAAAAAAAATATTCTAGTTAGGAAAACAAACCTCCACTGCAGAAATATACAAAAACTATAAATACAAAACCTTTCATCAGGCCTAAGTTCTACTATATGAGTTCATATGAGCAATGTTTTAACATTGTAACAAAAATTCTGTTCGTATATGCACATCAAAGAGTACAGTTTCAATTTTTGATTTGCCAGTTATCAGTGACTTCTTCTTTAGTCTTCCATTCTTCTCTAAACCTTTGTGTCTTTTGTGCCACTTCTCCTCGAGTCAGGCCTTTGGTGTTGTGCTGGCATCTGTTGGCTCCGCCTGGTATTACACCTCAAGCTCTGTTAGCACAGCACATGTGTGAGAGGAGGGGTGAGAGACACTCACCTGGGGACACTCGTGAGGTAGCTGAGGACATTTTGGAGCTCCTCCTCTTCTAGCTCGCTGAAAGTTGGGAATTCTGGGAAGACGATGACGGGGCTTCCATTCATCCCTCGCCCCCCTGGAGACAGACAGGAATCACAGAAATGTCAGGCACGGTGTCCACCTGGTGTTGTCAATGCTTTTAATTGATTTGATGACAGCTGGATTGAAAACTTGAAAGTTATGTTGTAATGGTTCATTTTTGCCCTACTTTTCCTCCTTTATATAAATACACTCAGACACAAATAAACCCACTTCTTGCTTGATAAAGTGCAGCAGGGTAAAAATCATAAATTACATACAGTCCTGTTTCCATAATTGGAAAGTCATGCAAATTCATTTTGGATCTAATTCAGAATGAAAGAAAGGCATTAAGAGGAGCCTTAATGTGATTGTTTACCACGCCTCTGGCTGAGGAGAGACAGAGCAAAAATCACATTTATAAAAATAAACAGGACCTCACACACACACACACACACACACACACACACACACACACACA